CGGGGAGGTGCTTCATATTAATCTAATAATAAGATCCATTGTATGAGGCATTCTTCTTCATTAGAAGTTAATTTCTGAGCGCTATTAGGAGTCTCTTGAATAAATAGAATGCCGCGTAATCGATCTTGTAGAGTAGAGCATGGGACAGCAAAGAAGCATGCAGCACCGTGAATACTGTTAATTTGATGCTTCTTTAGGGCCTCAATGGCAAGCAGAATCCTGTCCTCCTGCTCCGCTGCATCTTTTGATGCTTTAGACTGTATTGGTGGCATGGTTGGTGGTTGAATAGCTTCAAGTAGAGGGGAGGGGGGAGGGTGTTTGTATGTAGGTTCGAACGCGTTGGGTGTGTAGTAGGTGGGTGTGTAGTAGGTGGGTGTGTAGTAGGTGGGTGGCCGGTGCGGGCGGGTGGCCGGCGCGGCCGGGAGTTACGTTAACCTGAGCTTGCTGAGTAATTCCCCTGTAGTACTCTCCGTCAGGCGCGTGGAAATTTCGATCCTGTCGCATGTCAGATTGCAGATAACCTGCCTCAATGGGACAGAGAAACGGCAGAGAGTTGGGTCATGGCTCATGCGTGGTTTTACCTTGGAACCGTGTTAATAACTGTTGATCTGGAAGATCAACGGAATAGGACAGCGGATCGTACTCGTATGTCTCTTGTTTGATTGACATAAGTGTTAGTGCGTGCGGTAGGGCGCCCCAGAGGGCGTTCCCGGAATGCCACTAACAGCAAGCCTGCCGTCGAGGGCTTAACTATAGGCTGCTTCTTTTTAATCTACTATTAGATAGTTTGGCGAGGGGGAAACCTGGTCTGTCTGCACAGCCGCCTCCTTGCCCAATCTTCCAGAAACCACTAACCAATCTACCACCTCTTTCCGATTTAATCAACTACAAACCAATTCTCTTTTCTTGCAGGAAGAAACATAATACTTCATGCTTTTCCAGGTCTCATCCTTCCCTTATTACACAGGATATATACCTGCTACCATATGTCTCGGACGACCTTCCCAGACACACGGACATCGTAGTCAAGATTGCTAAGATGCCACCGCATCCCGCATCCCTGATCAACCACCCCCCCAAGCGAAAAAAGGCAGATCATCAGACTTTGCCCGTCCGTGACTTGCGCATCATGACGTCCGGACCCCATTGATCAACTGCTCCTCTACTCTCCTCCCCCAACCCCGTGCATTTTCTCCCCCTTCCTCCATCATACCCAGTGGGCGGAGAAAAATTATCCACAACAATGCAATTCTCCATGCTCTTTCCTTTCTTCCTTTAGAGCGATCAAAGGGAAGCAAAGCAACACCGTAGTATCGGATCATCCATCCACAGGGTCCTAACCCGCTGACGCCTCAACCTTGGGTCTGGCGGAAAGGCTCGTCCTATTTTTGGTGCTCCTGGCCCTAAGTTACTTACGAGTGCAGAACCACGGATTGCGTGTCTCTCGGCTACGCCACTCTTCCTGGTTTCCTGGTTCTTTGCTAGGGCCTGGGCCATGAGTGTTAACCGTGGTGTATACCTGGTGATTGTTTCAGGATTTCGTTTTTCTCGAGTTTAAGCGGTGTTTCTCGAGGTTTTAAGATTGTTGTGAATGGTGGTTCATAATTAGGTAATTGTCATGTTTATGCTTGTTAAACTGTGTCATATAAATGGTGTGACTACTGTTCATCGGACTCAGGACGTAGTTCGCCAAGTGGACGAATGCTAAATCATGAGGTACAAGTGACTTATCTATAACTACCTAATTATACTTTGCATTTACTACCTATTCCGTACATTTCCGTCGTTCTAATAGTATTGCTACTAGTAGTATTGTGATCGCATGTCTTTCTAGGATCCTACAATTGGGACTCGTGATGGTTGTTATATATATTCTCGATTTAATATGACATTTCTACCTGAACTGAAATATAACAGTTTCTATTGCTCTGGTTTCTCGAAATCCCACCATGATCCTAGCCAAATACCAACAAATATATATTTCAGTCACTCAAGATCTAGCACTACTAGTAGCATTCCTCCATCACCATCAAATTCTCGAGCAGCATCATAAAATGAATGATACTATCGCTCCTTAATCATTTATCCCATCACCCTACTACTAGAAGTTTCTCATACCAGCCAAGCTTTCCCCTCACAGATTTCCAACATAAGCCCCTCTAGCCCTACAAACCCACTGGCCCAGACCTCTACCGCCAAAATCTTTTAGTCAATCTCAGTAATGCCTTGTATACGGCAGTTTCTAGTTAAAGTATACACGGCATTTTCATAACTTTTTTTCTTGGAATCTGAGTAAAGTAGCATTTCAATACCTTAACCTGCCTTCCTACATAATATAGCAATATTACAACCATTGATCTAGCAATCCTCTACACTGGACAGTTATGTCCATACCTTCCATCAGACAAGACACTGATGACGTGTCTTTATATAGAGTCTACATCAACTTACGTACTAGCCGTCCCCAGCAGGCCCGCTTATGCTAAGAAGCACATACGCAAAAGACACACAGTGGTAGTTGTAGGCTACTCCGTCTTGCCCGTGCGGTTTGAGACGGAGTGCTGTTATCCGTTTCTTAAGTACACACCGTGCCTTCATTCCTTGGTGGATACTAACTTCGACATTCTGTGCAATGTGCACAGTAAGTAGTGTTGGGCTGATCTCCGCGGAGTCGGAGGAGGCTAGTTTACTGTAACTACATAGTATAATGTCTGGTCCTACACAGTGAATATGGCTTCCTACCGCATTAACTAGAAGCGAAGCTTTGTTTCCAGAAGTCTGTTGACTAGAGTCGAGTCTATCTAAGTATAGATACATCTGAAACGTCGGACCAGTCTTCTCCAAACATTAAACAGAGTGAACTACAAAGTAGACTAGTTTGATGTTCTACGTTCGCTTGCTTACAAAGGTGCATCCCTGGCAGGGAGCCGAGCTAAGCCACTCTCAGGGGTAGATTTGGATATCTCAGATGTTGGTTTTGACGAGCGTGGTTGACCGGAAGTAAGTCACATTCAACGCCTGTGTGTGTGAGAGAAGGAACAGAAAAGGGGTAACGAGCCTCACAGCCATGACTAGCGCTTCATGGAATCCAATCCCGGCAGACTGTGTTGGGTTTGGGGCTACGCAGCCCGTGTCTGATAGCTGAGTTCGTTCGAGGATGACCGTAAGCACTGTAGCAGGATGGGAAACTTTTAGTGTAGGGTGCTATGTTCGTAGTAGTAGTACTTTCTATGTGAGGTGGTAGGCCTGTATTTACTTTGTTGTTCTAGAAACACAGGGTATGCTGCCTCGGCTTAGAAAAACCTATACTCCTCTAGTCAGGTAGTATGAATTTGAATAGATGCTGGAGGCTGTATAGTATTGAACTGTGCCTCCAGTCTCTTACAACCCATAATTATGAATCGCGCATGAAACAGTGACATGAAGCTCCAAGGCCGAGCTATCCGGAGTTCGGGTCTCGGAAATTCGGGCGAAATTTCCCTATATTGTCTAAGAGGTCAAGATCCACCCAAAATATATGAGAAATAACTATTGTAAATCATTCAATGGTATTATCATGGTCTTAATTGAACACATTGAGTCCGACATAACGGTAGAGAGAACGTTAAAGTCTGAGTGCCGGATTCGCCGGTATTCGTCCGAGATAGTCCATCGAGATTTCAATTGGTTCTGTCCTAAATAGGGAATAGGAGATTCTTAAGTGTGTATACCTGTAGGTGTAGATATAAGTTGCCGATGTTGCTTTTGAATTCTGAGTTTCTTACTACTAAGTAGTAAGATATATAATGGCGCGTGCAAAAAGAATGTCTCATTGGCAAATAGTAAAGACGTTGAGAGGATATTGTTCTTCGGGGATAGCATGGCACATAGTATGGGGAAGTATCACCCGATGGACAAGTAATTAGCACGACAATTATCTGATTGAAGTCTTGAAGTCGCTTCATATTCTCTTGAAGTTGCACAATATGCTTCGTATGTACGAAGAGCAACCAGTAGTATACGGAGTAATTGTCGGTGACGGCGGAAAGACCATGACTGTGCGTGGTTTTGAGAAACAAAAGCGTGATCTTTCCGCGCTACGTGTTGGTGCCTTAAACATTTTAGGCAGACTGAACCCAATTTTGTTGTAATACCAACAGACCATAGCGACAAGAAGTTCTAGACTAAAGAGGTTGGGGGTAGGGGGTCATTAGGTCGCTAATAGATCTCCCAAAGTTAGAGGTTATTATCGCTAGATGGAACTCTGGGAGAGAGAGTGTGTAGTGACAGAGATAGCGCCGACGCGGCTATTGGCAAAAGTGAATCGCTTGTAGAAATTTCGCACCCGCTAGAAAATAAGAATGATCCAGCGTCTCCTTATAAATCGGTAGAGTGAAAGGCATCTCTGTTGATATTTTGTATGGCGCGGTAGGTAACTTAATGTTTAAGAGTATGAATCGCGTGCGCCATCCCTACGGCTACACAAGACATAAAGGTTATGATAGCATGTAATATGGCTTTTATATGATAGAGGTCTGTCGCGGCCCTGCTAGGGGGTTCTGGATGTATAAAACTACCAGCGACCTAGTATAAAAAGTCAGGCTAATGGCGGGCCGGATGGAGGAGGGTACGATAGACTGCTCCGTTTATAATTACCGGCTACGATCTCTCTGTTGTAGATTCGAACTACGTAGAGACTGATAGACCTGTGGTAGGGTTTTCTATATGTTTGACGACAAGAATAAGATAATTCATGACCGTGGGAATGTTTGTGTGCTGTGTTAGCTGACCACCCGAGCTATTAAGGAGATATATAGCGACAGGAGGTACAATGAGGCAGAAGCGCTGTTGTTGCAAGCCTTGATGATAAGGAAACAAGTGCTGGAGCCAGAGCATCCCGACACCAAGGACGATGGAAGAAGCAGAAGAGCTACAGATACAGATGCTAAAGTTCTCATAACGAGTACTTGAGCCCGAGAATTCCGACACTCTGACGAGTATAGAAAACCTCACAGCAAGCTACCGGTTCTAGGAAGAGTGGAAGGAACGGGAGAGTCTGCAGGCAGAGATATCAGATCTACGCTACAAGATGACAGGTAATCTGACGCGCATCGGCACCTTTGATTCAACTTCTAGGACGAAAAAGGATGGCAGGAAGCTGAAAGGGTAGAGCTGGAGGTGACTGCGTTATGGGTAAGGCAGGTGTTCCGCTTCTCTGGTCATGGCCGATGCTGCAGGGCTCGACTCCTTGGACGTTTGATCACTTTTCCACCATGTATATCGACGAACGACCGTGGTGCTGCCCCCCTATTGCCTATATCACCGTATGGCTTCAGATGATGTTGGAGAGGCTTCCCAATTTGAACGCAATTGGAGACAAGAGATGAGATACGTATTGATTTATGTTCCCTGGCTTGTCAATAAGCGTATCTTGCTGCATTCGTTCTGGTCTAACTCGACCGAAGCAAATGGGCAAATTTTGACTGCAAGTGTGTTTCTAGCATGCGCTTATGTCCGTCGGACACCTGTTTTCCTTGGTTCTCCTGGACCAATCGATTAATACACTCGTCTAGGCTGATCTCTTCCTCGTCATCGGTCGGCTCTTCTTTCGCAGCCGCAGCCGCAGCCCAGAGACTGTCCAGTTCATCCGACCAGCCTAGCAGATCGGCTAACTTTTCCAACCCATCATCACACGATCCAAGGATTTGAACATCCTCTGGTCGTGTACCAAAGTCCCCCGCACTCTCCATGTTGATGAGGATCCGTGGAACTCCCTCCCTCGCCAAACGCGGTAGCCGCGAGCACGGGGCAACCTTCAAGCTTGTGCCCATAACAATCACCAGATCCGCCTCGGCTACCAATTTCTCTTTTTCATCAAATGCAGCGGGAAGCGACTGGCCGAAGAAGACCACATCCGGCTTCACCGCTCCCTTGCACCTCGCCTCAAGACAGTACGGTACTTCTCTCTTGGCGATGGCCTTCTTCATCAGCTCGTCCGGGTACGGCGTGTTGCATTTGTGACAACGCTGCGTCTTCCAGTTCCCATGCACCGCAAGCATCTTGTCTGCGGGGACGAAGGCATCTTCTTCGAGACCGTCGGTGTTCTGGGTAAACAGGAAATGGAGCAGGCCTTTCTTCGCGAGCAGACCGAGGAATGCGTGGGATCTGGTCGGTTTGAGGCAGCGGGGATGGCGAGCCTTTGCGATGGCGTAGAATGGCTCCGGAGTATGGGTGAAATAGCTGATATGGAAAATCGCCTCGGGAAAGGGCAGCTTGAGGGGTGCCAGTTTCTCGTAGAGACCACTGGTGGGGGAGCGGAAGTCGGGGATTCCGGCGGCGGTGGAGATGCCCGCGCCTGTCAGGATGACGATTCGTTTCGCCTTGGCAAGGTGTTGGGCGGCTATCTCGATTTCAGACGAAGTACTGGTCATGTTGTGATATGGATGCTGTCGAAGAGGATCTGGTCGAGGTAGGACGTTGCTATGAGCATGTCTTGTCATGTGATGTCAGCATAAACACGTCGGCAGATCAGGCTTGTCTCGATGACTTGCATCAGAAGCACAACTGTATATTGTTGTTGACCTAAAGCATTCCTATGGATGAGTCCGATGGTTGACCTGTACTTCTCAAATTGGTCTCTTTGTTTTATACCCTCGCTACAGTCAGTGGCCCCGGAATGAATATCTTCTAAGGACAAGCATCCGCAATGAAGAGTCCCAATCCGAGACGTCCCATTGGTCAAGCTCAGTATAGTCGACCCTACTATGCGGAAGGGGGTGGCGAAGTGCAGGACACGGAGAGACTGGCCCAATGGGAAACAATAGCTTAGGTTAGTCTGAGTTGACACGGCGTCAAAGAATAATAGGAAAGCAAGAGGAGAGGCAGGCGGGCGAGGAGACTATCTATACTGTATAGACGCTTTCCCCGATCAGGCACGCTATACCGGATGCAGTATTTAGCCGTCACCGTATAATACGGAGTATGGTAGCATATCTATGTCTGTTACCGCCTCAGGCACCACCGCGCGGACTTGCCACAACCAATTATCGCCCCTTATCAACACGTGACGCGGACTTTGGCAGAATCGGACCAAAAAAAAAGAGGAAAGAAAAAAAAGGGCCGTACCAGCTTCACGTTCCAGACTCAACCCCAACGTCGAATTTTTTTGTTCGCAAAGGGAACCTGTCTACGGAAGGTACTCAGTCAAGATGCCGATCCCTGTGGATACCGCGAAATCTATCAACAAGAAGCGCAAGAGAAAGCACGGTGCGCGCGGTGCGACCGAAGCCGACGATGCTTCCCCGAAGCCCGCTGTCGACAATGGAGAGACGACCGAAGTGACGGAGACACCTACGGAAAAGAAGTCGAAGAAGAAGGCTGCTAAGGAGGCTGAGAAGGAAGAAAAGCCCAAGAAGCGCAAGGTTGACGACTCCAGCAACGAGGATGAGAATGACAGCGAGGAAGAAGTCCGTCAGGCGGAACCCGAAGATGAAGATGATGAGGAGGGCAAGGAGGCTGAGAATGGTGCAGACCTTCCTTCTCTGGACGCTGTGCGTCTGCCTCAGACGGATGGCGAGCCGAAGAAATTTACGGAATTGAACCTCTCTGAGAAGACGATGAAGGGTATTCAGGATATGGGCTTCGAGACTATGACCGAGATCCAGCAACGTACTATTCCCCCGCTACTTGCTGGTCGTGATGTTCTCGGTGCTGCGAAGACCGGTTCCGGAAAGACTTTGTCCTTTTTGATTCCTGCTGTGGAGATGTTGAGCGCTCTGCGATTCAAGCCTCGTAATGGTGGGTTCCTGGCATCTCTACTAGGTGTTCGCTCGACTGAACAAATGCTGATTTTCTACTTCTAGGTACTGGTGTTCTTGTCGTTTCTCCCACCAGAGAGTTGGCGCTGCAAATATTCGGTGTGGCCAGAGAGTTGATGGCGCACCACTCGCAAACATATGGTATCGTTATTGGAGGTGCCAACCGTCGAGCTGAGGCGGAGAAGCTCACCAAGGGTGTCAACTTGCTGATTGCCACTCCTGGACGCTTGCTTGATCATCTGCAGAATACCCCCGGCTTTGTGTTCAAGAACCTGAAGACTCTCGTTATCGGTAAGTGTGGCCTGATTACGAACACAACAGACGAATGTACTCTAACGTCTGTGCAGACGAGGCGGACCGTATTCTGGAAGTCGGTTTCGAGGACGAAATGCGTCAGATTGTCAAGATCCTGCCCTCCGAAGAGAGACAGACCATGCTGTTCTCTGCTACCCAGACCACGAAAGTCGAGGATTTGGCGCGCATATCGCTGCGCCCTGGCCCCTTGTACATCAACGTCGACCACCGCAAGGAGCACAGCACAGTGGAGGGTCTGGAACAGGGTTATGTCATCTGTGAGGCTGACAAGCGCTTCCTGCTTCTCTTCTCCTTCCTCAAGCGCAACCTCAAGAAGAAGATCATTGTCTTCTTCTCCAGCTGTAACTGCGTGAAGTACCATGCTGAGCTGCTCAACTACATCGACCTGCCGGTGCTTGAACTCCACGGCAAGCAGAAGCAGCAGAAGCGGACCAACACATTCTTCGAGTTCTGCAATGCCAAGCAGGGAACCCTGATCTGCACTGACGTTGCTGCCAGAGGTTTGGATGTGAGTACCTGCCCATTAACAAATCACCCAGAGCACAATCTAACAATCATAGATTCCGGCTGTGGACTGGATTATCCAGTTCGAACCCCCGGATGACACCAGGGATTACGTCCACCGTGTCGGTCGTACGGCTCGTGGTGTCAACGGTAAGGGACGCAGTTTGATGTTCTTGCAGCCTTCCGAGGTTGGTTTCCTGAAGCACCTTAAGGAGGCTCGTGTTCCCGTTGTGGAATTCGACTTCCCGGCCAACAAGATTGTCAACGTTCAATCTCAGCTCGAGAAGTTGATTGGTCAGAACTACTATCTGAACAAGGTGCGTTCACAGAATTTTTTTTGGCTCCTATCTACGATATCGATCCCATACTGACTCCACCCGCCTAGTCCGCCAAGGAAGGTTACAGAGCCTACCTCCAGGCGTATGCCTCCCATTCGCTCCGGTCCGTCTTCGACGTGCACAAGCTTGACCTGGTCAAGATTGCCAAGGGATTCGGATTCTCGACGCCGCCGCGCATCGACATCCAGCTGGGCTCCAGCCTGAGTCGGGATAAGAAGCAGCAGCAGCAAGGACGCCGAAACTACGGCAGCCAACCGAAGGGGCTGAAGTTCAAGCGCAAGCACGAGGATGACTGAACTGACTGACTAATAAGCAAAGAGAAAAGCAAGTGGTTTGTGTGATTTTCTTGAGACCTGGCATTTTAGTTTCGGAGTTTACCCTGTGGATATCTGGACTTGTCTATATTATTATTTCCAATCGTTTTCTTGAATAGATCATATCATTCAGAAGCATTTATCTGTTGTGTCAGGTGTACTCAGTATTCCCGTTACCTTTCGTTTTCCTCCGGTCGGAAATTACTCCCTAGAATAAACCCAGAAGTACAGAGCGAGACAGGTGACTGAAGAAGCGTTCTAAGTCTCTTTCTGTGAAACCGAGATTATGGTCGAGGACAGGTCATTGTAGCTCCCTCGGCTGGATTGCCGATGTTTTTGGCAGCTTGGAGTGTCTCACGGGCTAGTATGGATGGCTGCAATGCATGTCATTCATGTACAGACCTGGTACAGAAAGGAATAAAGTATCTGGTAGGCTGGGCTATGAATAGATACACAGGGGACTAGTTTGTAATGATCGGTGAATCTTATCTACTGTTGTTGCTGCAAATGTGGAAACTCTACGCATCTTTCACATGTTTGGTATAGTACTTTAGAGTGGTCTGTTCTATATCTGGCAAATCTGCTCTACCAAAAGAAGAAAATTGGCAAGTCCCTTCGACATTAAAAAAAGATATCAAAAACCCACCGCAATAAATAAATCAAGAATTCTCATAGGCTTGAAGTAATTTTTATTTTTTTCCTCTGCAGTTTACTTAGTATGGCTGCCTGTTGATAGAACTCATCTTTTAATGATCAAACATTATGAGCCCAGCCCCGCCACAACCCCATGCAATCAAGACCAATCGAGTGACAAATCCCATCATCAGATATTGAGTTTTTCATTTCACATCCCGGCAGACACAAACTTGAAAGGGCAAACAAGACCACGCTGACCGGGGGAGCATGGACTATCCCAGCAAACTCATCAAACTCTACACTTAAATCCGAGGGTGGCTGGTCAAAAAGGTGGCTGGGAAAGACAAAAAAAGGGAAAGAAAGGAAAGGGACGGGACGGGATCCGCCGTCGAACCCAACTTTCCTCCCATCCCATCCACTACTGGAAAAAAGAAAAAAGTACGAGCACATCCAACGTTGCAAGTGGCCGTAAGCAACACTTGGTCCTGACAGTCACCTGTCCTACTCTAGCAGGATGATCGTTGCAATGGAGAAAAAAAAGGTGAAAAAAGGCTACCAATCAGCCGCGAAGGCTGTAGTCAGAGTTGACGGAGGGGGACGGAGGGGATTGATGAGCTGGCAGCCTTAACCGCCAATGATTGCTTGGGAGTTGGTCGTCCTGGAGACCGCCTGGTCCTGGTCCTTGACTGCCTCTTTTCCTTTCTTGCTTTGCGGCCCATGAGCCAGTCAGTCAATGGGGGAGATGAGAGACTGTCTCTTGCTGGTTCCGTGTGCGGGTCGGGGGAAAAGGAACACACACACACAGGGAGGGGCGTGGGCTCCACCCACTCACGATTCATCCATCTACTGGTGATGAACCTTTTTTCCTCGATTCGGACTTTCCTAATCCCAGTAACCCAACGAACGTACCTACACTAGTCATGTTCGTTCGGGATGCTGATGCTGTTCCGGTAGCCTCCTCCGCCAGTGGTCTTCAGAATTATCCGATTCCCAGCCAGGTACGGAGTCCGGAAGACAGGAGATCGTGGCTTCTAATGTGACGAGTCATTCCGAAACCAAACGACCCTCTGGACATTGGGTGCTGGCAGGACTCGTGTTTCAAGCTGTATATATGGCAGCCAATTCCTGAGCATCACGCTCCAGGTTTCACCACCATGAGTCTCGGGAGGCAAAAAGCGCTGCTCTCTCTCACACCTGTACAACGGTAATAGGGCCACCCAAGATCGGGAGTGGCAGACAGACAGGAAACAGATCACATCTCGGGTCGCACTACGAAGGCAATAACCCGCTCTCGTCCAGTGGGAGGTGCGCGCATGAACTTGTATGGATTTTAGGAAACAAGAAAAATCATTATTTCTCCAAGCCTCACGCTTCTTCCATCCCTGGTGTGTCTGGAAAGAAAGATGCGAGTGGATGAGGAGTCGGATTCAGCCTTAAGCTTGAGGAAGCATCATCGAGCATCGTGAAGATCACTTCTCGGCGACAGGGAGAAACCGGCAAAGCCGACTACTCAATAGTATTTGTATCCTCGAGGCTGATCTGATGGAAGAGAGAGAGTGTGTGTGTTGAAGCGCAGCTTTGCTCGGTCACCATGCGTGGATCTCATCTGGTGGAGGAGAAGGATGGATCCCGGGGAGGGATACACACACGTAGGAAGCAAAGCAGTCCACTTCTATCGAACCCAACCGATAATGACACCCAAAGTGAAGGGGGAAATCCCGCTTCAGAACGAAGGTCATCAGCAGTATAAGAGCCCAGGAAACGCGATAATCGCGAGGCTGGCAGAGACAAGAAGCTCATCTTTTTTGGGTCGTGGCCAACTCATCCAAGGCCGTACCTTACTTAAGTTTCAGTGACTGTTTTCTAAATCAGTGCCGGCCACTGACTTTTAGTTACTTTGACTTTGAACTTGGGGGTGGACACTAAA